AATATTTCCCTGCTCATAGTCTCCAACACCCAATCCCAAAGATTCAGGCCCAACCCTTAAGTCCCAATATAAGCTTAAGCCCAAAAGCCAACAAAGGAGTTACGCTAGGCGTACCTCTCTTGGTACGGTCAACATACTCGCACATGCATGAAACTGATCGGGACAGTAACCCAATACACAGGATGTACCGGATTTTACGATGGTCATTCACTTAGTTTGCTTAAGACTATTCCCCTGGTCTTAACCCGTTAAGTCTTTAGCTTATTTCTCAGATCTGGACTCCCTAATGTCTCTTAATCCATAAAGTTAGTGACTTTAATCCTTTGTATGGCTGATAAGGTCACAAACACTCAAAACACCCATCCTCTTTCCTCATGAAGCTCATAACTCATGCATGGCTTACTCCTAACGTCCATGATTGGATTTTTATGACTCTACTCCACAAAATACACTGAAAAGGGGTAGATTAAGGTCTCTAGAGCTCATTATCTCATAAAGTCTCCATCTTTTAGGACAAAACCCTAAAATACTCCATATAAATGCACAACTCAAAAGGGTGAGAAAGCTTGAAGCTTTATACCTTTATGTGAAGCTTTCCACATAACTAAGCTCAGATCCAAAACTTCTGGGCTCTCACTCCTTCTTTTCCAAAGCTTTTTCTCTACTTCAAGAACACAAGATTACACTTACAAGCTCTCAAATGCACTCTCCAGCTATAAGAAAGAAGATTTAAGGTTAGGAGGGTTTGGTGTATGGGAATGGTGGCTAGGAATAAGGCCATCTCATTCTTTATATAGGAACACACCCAAATTAAGGTTTTCCATTCTGTGCCTAGTACACCCAACGTACCCTCTGGCACGCCCAACGTACTAGGTCGTTCTACTTACAACCCACGCACATGAATACGCTAAGCGTACACATACGTACGCCCAACGTACTCCGCTGGAACCTTTTTCAATTAAAGGACTTATCCTGCCATAAATTCAAACTTCCAATGCTTCCTTAATATAACTCCGATTCCAATGAAACTCATAACCACAGAAAGATGTCGAGACGCCCAACTCTTCTAGCAACTCGTCGCAAGCCCTAGATTTCCCTAATCCCGAGTTGCAGCCCATAAACCCTAGTCTCAGACGATCTAAAATAGGATGTTACATTTGAACAGGCATGGACTCGACGAGTTTCGGGGAAAACTCGACGAGTCAGTGTGGGGATTTCACGACTACTCGAGTTCTGGAAGGACTCAATGAGTCAGTGACTGCACTCCACGAGTCGGGTCAACATGGATTATTGACCTTGACCGTTGACATTGACTTTCACCAAGGGTTGACTAATTGACTTCTGGGGCATTTTGGGAATTTTGAAATTTACAAGTGTGGTTCTATGGTGAATATAGGTGGTGGAGTTTGTGGTGGTGATCCGAGAGTTTGAGCTTATCTTTTGAGTTGACAGTTTTAAGGTGAGTTATCATCACTATACTAAGGGGGTCTAAGGCACTAAGGCTGGCCCATTGGATATGATATCCTATCAGTTTGTAGTATGATGAGTATGAGTTAGTGTTGCACATTAGTTGCTATGCCAGTTAGGTAGATTTGTAGGACTACCTGTATTATTATGTGATTATCTGTATGTGTAATAGTTGTGTTATATGTTGACATATTATGTGGGATGGGTTGAGGTGATACTGCTCCGTGCAGTAACCAACAAACCCGAGAACATTCCAGATACGAGTTGAGGGAGACTCGTATTGTGGGCTCGATGGCAATCCAGATGTGAGCTGTGGGCCCGAAAGGCAATCCAGACTCACACTGTGGGCCCATGGGTAATCCAGTCTGTAAAGCTGTGGACCAGTATATGCTATTATTTATATATGTATTATATGCAAAGTAACAGTATTTTAGGGGAACTCACTAAGCTTTCGGGCTTACAGTTTCAGTTTATTGTTTCAGGTACATCAGGGGATCGCGGCAAGGCAAAGGTGTGATCATACAGCTCCTCATATTTTATTTATGTTTCTGGGAAAACTCTGGTATTATACATTTTGAAAACAAGTTTGTAATGATTTAATGGTTTTGAAATGTTTCTAAAAGTTGAAATTTGGCATGATTTTATGGGTGTTACAAATCCAAATCAAGTTCTCAACAAGTGACTTCACTTTCTTCTCCAAGCATCACTCCAGAACAATATAAATAATTACTTCAACTGTTTAACAATACTACCCTTCAACCATCATCTTCTACAACAAATCAATGCTTTTATTTTTGATGCTGCAATGGATCAAAATGGCAATTTATATTCTTTTTAGCACTTTGCTGCCAATGTCTATCATCCTCTGCCTATCTTCATAAACATAGTTCTTGGATCTTAGATTATGGTGCTAGTGACTACATGTGTTCTAACAAAGAATTTTTCTCTTCATTGATCAAGCTTAATCAACCTCATTTCATTGGTCTGCCTAATGGCATTCACACATGTGTTTCTTATATTAGTGAAGTACAGTTACATACATCTGTTACATTACATGGCGTCTTGCACGTCCAAAATTTCAAATACAACCTCATTTCAATTCACAAGTTAACCTCTCATCTCAAAACCTTTGTTATCTTTACTGATGAAGTTTTTCTGTTGCAGGACCCTTCACTGAAGAGTAATTTTGCACTTGGAAATCTTAGCAAAAGAGTCAACAATCTCTATGTGACTGATCACAATCATGTCAAAACCAATTTGTTTTACAATCTTCCTGTTTTTAATTCTGCTTCATATTGTTTTTCCGAAGTGTTCTCTTGTAATCTAAAGTCTGATGCACTTTTATGGCATAAGCATCCAGGTCATGTACCAATGTCTAAACTTCAAAATCTTTCATTAATTTTCGGTAATTGTCGTGACGTTTCTGTTGAATCTTGTGTTGTATGTTCTAAAGCAAAGCATCATCGATTACCCTTTCCTACACGCACTTCTCAATCTAAATCAGCTTTTGATTTAGTTTATATTGATGTGTGGGGCCATTATAAACATTCGACTTATGATGGTTTTAGGTATTTTTTCATAATTTTTTATGATTATACCAGGCATACATGGGTTCATCTATTGAATAACAAAAGTTACACATTCACTTTGATTAAAGCTTTTGTGTCTCTCATTATCACTCAATTTCAAACTACAATCAAAGTTCTTAGAACAAATAATGCTTTGGAACTGGGATCTAGCAATGATGGCATCAATTTTTTCCAAAATCATGGAATTATTCACCATAAATCAATTCCATATATGCCGCAACAGAATTGGATAGTGGAGCGTAAACATAGACATATCTTGGAGGTTGCAAGAACTCTTTATTTTCAATCCGGAATAGGTGTTTCTTATTGGGGAGAGTGTGTGAAAACTATAGTTCACTTAATCAATCGCATGCCTTCTAAAACGACTCGTGGTTGTACCCTATTTGAGCTTTTCTACAAAGAAAAGCCACAGTTACAACATTTGAAAGCTTTTGGTTGTCTTTGTTTTGCATCAACATCTACAATCGGAAGAGATAAGTTTATGCCTAGATCTCACCCTTATATATTCATTAGATATCTTTTTGGTCAGAAAGCATACAAAGGGTTAGATTTGGTCACAAACAATATTTTTATCTCACGAGATGTGAAGTTCTTTGAAGATCTCTTTCCATTGCATTCAGTGATAGTACCTTAAAATGCATCACCTTATCAATCATATCTTCCCACAAATCCAAATTCTTCCCAAAATATAAAAACATTATTCTTTTGATTTGCCAAATCCGATTAGTCCAATCTCTTTACATCCTCTATACCTAATGGATCTTCCTCCGATTCTTCGTTAAGAAGAACCACACACGTTTGAAATTCTTTAACATGTTTATGATAAAAAAAATATCTTTGAATGGAACCATATTCTGCAAGAATAAAATCGAAAATATATTTACTAGTTTATGGTTGATTTTTGGTCATTTTGACAGAATAAAATCGGTTATTAGTAAAAATTATATTAGAATTTAATTATAATTAATTTAAAATATTCAGATATTTAAAAATAAGGGAATTAGTTATTCCTTAAAATCTGAAAATTTCCTTTTTTAATACAATTTAATTGACCAAAATCTCCTTATGCTAAATTTTGTGTGATTATATGGTACATGTTACTCTATTATTATATCATAAACCCTCAGATCATTGATCATTGATTTTACTCAATCCGTTGGTCCAGTTTGTGCTTATGAGTACACAATAGTTGTTAGGATATTAACCGTAACCTTTTATATATATATATATATATATATATATATATATATATATATATATATATATATATATATATATATATATATATAAAATAATTATTTTATAGACACCTAAACAAATAACATTTTTAAAGAAATTAAATGTCCTACTAATTTTTATTCTTATCAATTCTTTTACCTATTTAAATTTAAATGATAACATATATCTCATTAGTATATTAAAACATCATTAAATTTTATTAAATATATAATAAATATGACACGTATTACCATTTAATTGGATAGAAAGATTATATAGAAAAAAAACATTTAATTTCTCTTTTTTTTTTTATTTTTTTATTCAGAAACAGATTTGGTAAAGTTTTTAAATCATTCATATCGTATCAAACCACCATAATTTCATAATTTAATGATTTGAGATACTTTTTTTCATTCTTTTTGCCATAACCTTAAACTGTATGGGCCCAAGTAACCCTACGATTGACTCAAATATTAATATAACATACTTTAGTTTTTCAATAAATTCCTTAACGAATATATAGTTTTTAAAATCTGAAATACATATGGGAAGTCGACTATGTATTAATGGGTATATAATCCAAAAAGTTCAAAATCTGGACACAACAAATTACAGCTGGACCTTTCCGTTATTCTCCATGTGGACTTTGGTAATACCACACTGTCGACAAAACAACCTTTACTTTCAGTATAAGCAAATCCAGAATCTCACCCTTTCACCTTCCATATTCATTCTTTCTTTCACACTTCATCGATTTACGCTCCCTTCCATTTGTTTTTGTCCCTATAGACGCGGTGGTGATCGGTTCTAGGGTTCTCAGTTCGCCGGAGAGGGAGAAGAGAAGGCTATCATGGGGCAACAGTCATTGATCTACAGTTTTGTTGCGAGAGGGACGGTTATTCTCTCTGAGTTCACGGAATTCACCGGTAATTTCACCAACATCGCTGCTCAGTGTCTCCAGAAGCTTCCTGCTACCAATAACAAGTTCACCTACGCATGCGATGGACACACGTTTAACTATCTCGTTGAAGATGGATTTAGTGAGTTTGATCTGACCTATTTTTTATTATTATGCGTTTTGTATTTGAAATGTTGGTCGAGTTGATCGTTTATCTGCTCATACGTTATGTGTTGATTCGATTTATGTTATTCCAGTGAGTTAGATGATTTTGAGTTTGAGTTATGAAAATCATGGCAGTAAATTATCTAATGTTTCATCTCAAATAGTTTGACTAGGGGTCGCAATTTCTCTGTTCTCAATTTTACGTTCCTTTGTTGCTATTAGAATTGGCTGATGATCCATGCTTTCTGATTACTGCGATTAGCGTCGTATGCATCTCATCATCTCTGCAGCAATAAGTAATAATATGAGCGATGTAATATGTAAACTTGAGTCATTTTGAGTTGCTAGACAAGATTCAGAACAAGAGGTGGATTTTTGATTGATTAATTATAGTTTCTTGATATGAATCAGCTCAATCTCTTAGTCCAACCTCATACTTTCTGGTATGGAATGATAACCAGTTAGTTTAACTTCTATATTTTGAAATGTTTTTTTTTTCCTGTTTACCTACAAATCAAAGTCAATTTAGATGTTAAAAGGTGTAAGGCTTTACAATTCCCTTACCTTTGAATTTTCTGGTATTTATCTAATTACTGTTTGATATATAGGGGCTTGGGTTTGTCATTTTTCAAAAATGTCAAAAGTTTGGGTGATCTATGCCATGTAAAATACATTATGTTGATAAAGTAAAGAAGTGCATAAAGTATATATAAACTCATACCAATTAATTGTATAACAAACAAAAGGAACACCAAAGTGAAAGCACTAATTCACCAAAAAAGGAGCACATATGCATCAGGAAAAGCTGGCCATCAACATGAATCATGATTAGTTTAAACTTTAAAGTAATTTCCATTAATCATCATTCTCATTTGACAGTTCATCATCACTAATTCACCACCACAGTTGATTAAATTATGTAAAAATGTCAAATACTCTGCTTCTTTTGCTTTCTCCAACTTACGTATATTTGAACTAACTTTTAAGTTATTAAATGATGAAGCATACTGCGTGGTTGCCATCGAGGCTGTTGGTCGTCAGATTCCAATGGCTTTTCTGGAGAGAATCAAGGATGAATTCACCAAGAAATACAGTGGAGGGAAAGCTGCAACAGCTGTACCCAATAGCTTGAACAAAGAATTCGGGTCATCATCTTATAAATTTCTAATAGTCTTTTTTCACATCCTTTAAAATTAAATTCTTAATCCCCGCTAAATTACGTAATACCAGTCCCAAGCTGAAGGAGCAGATGCAGTATTGTGTGGATCATCCAGAAGAGATCAGCAAGCTTTCAAAAGTCAAGGCCCAGGTTTCGGAAGTCAAAGGTGTCATGATGGATAACATTGAGAAGGTAAATTCACTTACATGGGTCATTCTTAAAATATAAGAGAAAAAAAGAAAGAACCAGACACTTCAAGTGTATTTTATAGTTGTTATTTGAAGTTTTGATGGAATGTGTAGGTTCTTGACCGAGGGGAGAAGATTGAGCTTTTGGTTGACAAAACAGAGAGCCTTCATTCTCAGGTAAAAGCCGATTGAAATGCAAGTTTCACATTACAAATAAAAAATAAATTGTTATTTTAATGATAATGGTTTAATTATTATATATGTTGTAGGCACAAGGGTTTAGGACGCAGGGTACGCAATTAAGAAGAAAAATGTGGTTGAAGAATATGAAGATTAAACTCATAGTTTTAGCAATCATTATTGCACTGGTTTTTATTATACTTTTTTCAGCTTGTCATGGCGTCAAATGTTTCAAGTGAACAAGGTATACTTACGTACTATACACATCTTGACTTGTTATGTTCATTTTTTACAAGCTTATTGTATTGTGAGACAATGCTTGTATACCATGTACCTTAAAAAGTAATTTTGATATCTATATATATTAGGCAATAATTTGATAGCAGGTGCCTGCTGTTTTCTCTCTTGGTGATTGTTTTGATATTCACTGATTTTTACAATAGGCATGTTCAAGAGTCTGTGTTTTAGGGTGAAAGAAGTTTTGTCGACTTCTCTCTATAATTTTACTTCAAATAATGAGTCTAGTCTTTGGAAGGAATCCAAAATAGAAAATTTTATATACCTTTTAAACAACAAAACTACTAGTCCTCTTTAGTCTTTATACCATAGAGTCAATGCCTGTTATCTTAAATAAAAATAATTTTTTTCAAAGAAAAAAAAAAAAAAAAGACAAAAAAGCAAGCGAGTTGTACCGATTCGGGCCAAAAATGTTCCAAAAATCGATTTTTGTAACAAAGAATCAGATTTTGTGCAGATTAGCCGTTTAATTGGCAACGAAAAATCTCAAAGGATGCTACCAAACTATTCATATGCATTATGTTCTTGTACACTAAATTTGGCAAAATAATATATCCAAATTTTATTTGTTTGATTGTTTCATCATACAAATATAATTATTAAACTAAGAACCATATATTTTATGATTAAAAAACACAAAATAAACTTTTAATAAAAAAAGAACTTAAATGACCACGAAGATGACATGGTATCATGGTGCATGTATTTGGACCTAGAACAATGTCGATGATAAATTGAACCTAGAACAATGTCAATGATAAAAGACTCAGTCAAATCATATGAAACTAGTATTTTTGTCACATCGTGCATATGTAACGGAGAATATTCGTTCAAAGTGGACCATAAAGTATAAAAATAAGGGTTTTATGTAAAAAATCACATTCTTTTAGAAAAAGCATATAATCTGTCATTTTGTTAAAATTAAAAAAAAAAATGATATTTTCGTTAATTTGAGCAAAATCTTAAATAATCGGGACTTTTATGTTAAAAAAAAAAATTAATACTTTTTCAAAAAAAGTTTTCAAAATAATGAAATAGTTTTCAAAATAATCAGATTTTTCTGATAAATTCTTAAAAATAAAGTTTTGATCAAAACAGTTATATATAAGGCCGACATACAAAAATAAGGTTCTTCCGTGCCCATTTACCTTACTCTTCCTAACAAAATGCTTACTCTTCCTAACAAAATGGAATTCATATATGCTTTTCATGCTCTCACTCTTCCTAACAAAATGGGACATCTTAAAGAACTCTTACAACCATTTACAATGTTGTTCGTACCTTGTTGTTCCATGCCCATCTACCTCCCACGTATTGGATATAATCCTTCCATATGCACTCGTCTCTTAAATATTTTACCTTCTACAACCCTCAACAATGACACACCATTTCACAAACTATATCACCAAAAAACTCACATAAACTCATCTTCTAGAGTGTTTGATTGTCTATTTTACCCAAACTTCAACACTCCTAATAAACTTTCCTAAGAAAAACCTCATGCATATTCCTCAGTTAGCCATCCTACCATCAGGGTTACCAATGCTTAGATCTCGCAACCAAGAAAATCCTCGTCTCAAGACATTTTCTTTAATGAAATCAATTTTCCTTTTAGGTTCATGAACCATCTAACTATAACTTCCTTACCCCCAAATATGACTATAAGCTTTTCTTAGATCAATTTGGTCTCTTGTCATCTTCCCAATAGGACTGTAAACGAACCGAACGAACACGAACGAGGCTTATTTATGTTTGTTCGTTTAAATTAGCCGAACAAATAAACGAACACGAACGGATAAACGAACAAGTTTTCTTGTTCATGTTCGTTCGTTTATGTTCGTGAACATGCTAAATGAAAATAAATGAATAAAGATAAAAAAAAAACATAATTGAAGATATATGAACATAAATGAATATATAATACACTAATGTAATCAAACGTAATTAAACATATGTGAACATAAAATGAACTTATATGAACGAACATAAACGTACAATATAAATGAACGTTCACAAACATAATAAATGAACGAGACCATTATTCATATTGGTTCGTTTATTAAATAAACGAATATAGACAAGCTTTCCGTCGAACGGTTCACGAACAGTTCACTGAATGTTCAGTTCGTTTACAACCCTACTTCCCAACATATACTAATGTAACCATCACTACCGACTTACCATACTTTTCTCAAAAGCTGCCACAAACGACCCTACTGACCTCATATGTTGCCTCGAGTAACACCTACCTCGATTGTTGTGTTGTTGAATCGGTAGCTTCACTACCCTTATCAGCTGCAACAACTCCTCGTCCATCCTTTATTGCAACCACCACCTCTACTAACCTAGTATCGCCTTCTAACAACTTGCTTCCACCACACTTAACACCTCTCATGTTTCCCAACATCCTTTCCTACCGTTGAAGCTACTAGGACAACCCACTTCTACCTTCCACCATACAACCTCAATAATTCCACCGATGATCATTTGTCCAACAATGGGCATTACCAAACCCATACAAAAATTAAATTTATATGTTGATTCTCCTCTCATATATGATATAACCCATAACTACTCTAAAGCCATACGAGATCCACATATGCTTAATGCCACGAAAGATGCATTTAATGCACTTATTTCAAATAAAACTTAGGGTGCTACTGTGCTATTGTCTCGACCTATGTAACATCCCACTTGTAGGGCTAGAAAATTTCATATTAAATAAAAAATAAAAATAATAACAATATCGTAATATTAGCAGACATATAAATTTAAGGAGATAAAGATTAAATTTAAAAGATTTAACGAATAAGAGTTGTATTTGACAAAAGTGAGAAAGTTAAGATTGATTGTGACTTGACTCATTCATATGAAATTTGGAATTAATAATGTCATATAAATGATGGAAAATGACAAAACGTATAAATAGCCAAAGTCAATGTGGGTTTAGTCTACCTCTCCAACAACCTACTTCAATAGTCAACACCAATGGACCAAACACATCAAGACTGATATTCACTCACTTTATCTGGGACAAAGTTTCCATATGCCATATTTGAGTTCTTCATGTTCCATTCTCCTCACATTATGCCAACATCTTTACAAAAGGACTATTGTCCTCATTGATGATTGATCCTTGACTCCAAATGTAATTTGAACATTAAGCTCTTAGGTTGTTCCAACTACAATGTTAATGTATCAATTATATTGTTGTATTTAATTATAGTGAGCCTATTGTATTCGGTCAATTTTATTAACCCAACGTGTATTTGTAAATCATATTTATATGCTAATCAAGGAGAGAAATCATTATGAGATATACTAATTATCTATTTTAATCAGATTACATATTTCATTTTTTCAAATTAACCATGTATAATAATAAAATATAATAGTCAATTTTATTATTCTGTTAATTCAATTAGTTTCATTACATTCCCTTTTAAAATGAAAGACAAATTTAATGCTTTAAAAATGAATTTATTTTTTCAAAACTTTGACAGAGCACAAACCTCTTATTTATATAGGCATCAACAAAATTGCATAAATTCTCAGGTACAACACACACACACATTGTATCGTTTTGAAAAAACAAATTCATCACATTATGCATGAAGTATATACATACATAAGCAATTGAGCAATTCTCACATCAAATTCGGTTATCAGTCATCTAAAGTGCTTTAAGAGATACACATCTAAAACATTAGAACTAGTCACATTGTACAACATAATTTACACAACTTGTGATCAAATTTACATCGAATCTACTAACTATGTATATATATTTTTTACATCACAAGCAATTAAAAAAAAGTAAAGCAGCCGTAACTAATAATAGCACCGACAATTACCGCTAAAACTTTACAGCTACGAGCTTTAGCTCATTTATTTCACACATTAAAAAAAACCTTACAAATAAAAATATATAAAGATTTTAACAAGCTAATTGGTCTCTAAAGCTTTCAATTTGTTCGAATATGGGCAGTCTTTTTGACCTACTTGGGGCCCATACATTCATCAACTTTTCGAGCCCATTAACAAAGTCATCATCCAGATCCAGTCCAGGAAGGGCAGGCAATAACTCAGACATGTGCCGACATTTTTCCATCTCCATCAAAAGTTCTTGAGCCCGATTTCTGGCCCGGATGTCATCGGATCCTGGAATCTCCCCGTTGACTACGTGTTGAAGAATCGGACAAGCTTCTTCATATCGGGCCTGTTTCATTAGACAAAGGCCCAAATTGCAGGCCTTATTTGCATCGGGGTCAATCATTTGGGCTTTCTTGTAGACCACCTCTGCTGCCATGAAGTTGGACTTTTGCATGTAGGCCCAACCCAAATTCCCCTTTTAATCCAAAAGAGCACAAAATGTTAAATTATAATCGATCATCTTGTAATAGTATCTTATATATGAAGGGGTTAATGCTGTAAATGACTAAATAACTATTTTTTTTTTAATAAATCACAATTCTTTTTTAAATGGGTACACGAATTATTATTTTTAACGACACCTCATCTCTTTGAAGTCTGTGGCTTGAACGTGAGCAACTTAAAGGTTTAGTTCACAAAATAGTGAAAATATGGTATTTTGTGAACAATATGTTCAGGTTATTATCTTCTGTAAAAATAATAATAATTTATAAAAAAACAAAAAAAAAAAAAAACAAAATAGTTTGTTATTCTTTTATGAAAAAGACTGGTACTATATATTAATTTATCAAACATATAATTTTTGAAGAAGAATATTAAAAAAATACCAAAATCCTGGAAGTTTCTTGTCTGACCGAGACTTGAAACTTTTTGCCATGAGATCTTGCTGTCTTTGTTGGTCTTCCATTAAAAGCTTCTCCTCTGTAAATCATCCTAAGCTTTTGCTTTAATAACGCTATTTGTTCATCTACTTTCCCACATTTCTGTTCAACAAATATTCAACCACATTATTAATGTCAAGTTAATTTGCCAACTAGAAACACGACTTAATTGTGTTCCATTTACTCATTCTTTGATTTGTGTGCAATTAAGATGTTTAGATCGATACCACCATGAGTATGATCCATCAAAACATGTGACGAACACTATCTGACCGAGACA